GTTTTTATCTTCAGCTGAACCAGAAGTCACTCTCACAAAGGTTGTGATGAATGGTAGGATGATTTTGATACAGGCATGGGTTGCAATGGAGGGATATTGTCATGACATTGCACCAGAACTGAGAGAGGGTTACCGCTGTAAATTTCTTTTTTTAGCATTTTTTTACTCTTTTTAACCCCTTGGCGCTGGTGCCTGAGCCGCGTCCCGACCCTTTAAGGGTTTTCAGAAGCCGGGCAGTGGGTTTAGGGTTGTGACCACCATGACATGCCGTTACGTGCTCACATGATCGGGAAAGGTCCCGATGAAAAGAGAAGATCTGGACCTTTCCGTGAGTACCGGACATGTGTGCTGGGACCTCGCAGGGTGCGCGCTCTCAGCACATATGTTTTTCTGCACACAAATGTGCGGCCGTTCAGTGCCAAGGCCCAGACGCCGGGAGGCCGCACATTTGTGTACGGCCAGCGCCAAGAGGTTTAAATACGCTCTCCATCACCCTGCCACAACCCAGGAAAAGTACCTAGCGGAGTCATGGCATCCAGTGGTGCTTTTCTTTCCTCCTGTGTGGCTGGCTGCAGGAAAGTGTTTTTATATGTCATTTCCTCCCAGCCCTGGCATGGAGGAATGAGTACAAGTGGGACCATTTTGTAAGTGCACTGTGCGCACCACCTTAATGGGACTGGCTGGCCCCAATAATACAAATATTAAGGCCAGCCGTAGTTGCGGTCCTGGCCGTCTTAACATTTATATTTGTGCGGACGGGGATTGGCACTGCTGTGTAATAATCAGATTTTTCTCGCAGGGCTTTGGCCCCAAACTGGTGGCCTAATAAAGGGTTTCAAAGAACTGGGGATTTTATCTCATTGAAGGGTATCCACAATCCACACCTTACACTTTTTAAAAACTAAAACATCATTTGTCAACGAATGAGCATTTTCATTTCATTTCAGTCGTTCTTGTATAGATATATATACCTCAACACGAATTGGATTCTGGATGTATCCAATTGAAGACTTTGTGCAAAAATATTTCCAGTGTTCAGAGTCACTTCACCACTATACATAATATATTGCATCATAATTCTTTAAAGATGACCCATGTGAGACAATGGGAATATGATTTAGATGAAGAGCTTGATCTTCCAGAGCAGAAGTGATTTCCATGATATCAATTAACACATCACGCGTAGAAGTGAGGTTTAAAGGGCACTTTTCTTCTGCCAGCAAATGCCAGTGACAGGAAAAGGTTGCCAGTTACAAATATGGCTGTGAAGCTCAGCTTGGCAGTCTGGAGCCAGCTGAGACCATCTGAGTGCCTGCTACAGTGGGGATCGAAAGTTTGGGCACCCCAGCTAAAAATTTGTATTAATGTGCATAAAGAAGCCAAGGAAAGATGGAAAAATCTCCAAAAGGCATCAAATTACAGTTCCTGATGACTGCCATTTCTTAATTACATTCCGAACAGAGGATATTGACATCTGAAAAGGCTTTGCTATCTTCTTATAGCCTTCTCCAACTTTGTGCGCGTCAACTATTTTCAGTTTCAGTTTTCTAGACAACTGCTTAGAAGAACCCATGGTGCTGATTGTTGGGGCAAGGTCAGATGAGTCTGGGCATTTAAAACCTTTGAGATTGATATAACCTGGTCTTCCCAGATGATGATTGAGAACAATCCATGACACTGGCAGGTCTCAGCTTTGCAAAGGGGGCAGTACAAGATATTAACTCTGCAGGGTGCCCAAACTTTTGCAGACGCCATTTTTTTGTTTTCTGTTATTTTGAAAGTGTAAATGATGGAAATAAAATCTAACTTTTGTTGACATATTATAAGAATGTCTAATCTGTAATTTGATGCCTTTTGGAGATTTTTCCATCTTTCCTTGGCTTCTTTATGCACATTAATACAAATTTTTAGCTGGGGTGCCCAAATTTTCAATCCCCACTGTACATTGTGTTCAGGCGGTGTCAGTGGGGGCGGGTCTGGCGGCGGTGGTGCCTGAATATGACGTGGGATATCATGCTTCAAGGTAGCTGAGCGGAGCAGCCAGAACCTCGTGTGTGGGTCTGTGGGATGGAAGCAGGTAAGGGCAGATGATTCATGTAGTATTTACTTCCTGGAATCCACCTGCCCTTTGCTCAGACATGCAGACAGGATGGCGAACTTAGCTGAGAAAACCCCTCCTCCTCTCCTGAAGACTCCTGTGATGTATGACATCATTTTGCCTAGGCATAGAAACCAGGAAGTATCTGAAGAAATGTAACAAAAAATTAGTTTAAAACAAGTAAATATAATTTACCTTTCTATCTATTTACTAATGCTAACAGCATAAGGATTAAAAATAGTCAGTGCTGATTTAGTCCTCATGCACACTGGAGGTTTTTACAGCTGCTGTTTTTGGCTTTTGGCATTTTTTTTTCTACAGCCAGTAAACTCCCCAGCATGTTATCCTATATGTCCATGCACACATAGGCTTTGATCAGCATTTTTTTTCAGGGGCGTTTTTTGGCTGGAGAAAAACCCCAGAACCAGTGGGTTTCTAGAGGAGTGTTAGGGATCCGGGTATGACCAGAAATGTGTGGACTGACACAAGGAAGTAGCAGGCTTCAGGAACAAAGGCGTAGTCAGGCTGCAGAGGTGGAATGGTCAGGCAGGCCGTAAGGTACTGTCAGGTGCCGCCTGGCAGTGTCTCTAGCAGCCCACAGCACGGATTTCCTCAGGGCGCGGGGTCTAAGTCCCAGCCTGCTATTCACCAGGGCCCCTGATGGTGGGGATGGACTTGGTGCAGACTGGAACCAGGTCGCGACTCCTGAGTGCGTCCGGCTGTGGTAGAGAGTACTGGCAGGGGAGTGCAGGAGCGGAGTCTGATGGGAAGAGGCAGGCAGACTTACTAAAGGTGATCCGTGCAGGATGGATGGATCGTCGGGTGAAGTAAGCGTAGTCAGACAGGCCGGGTCGGTATCGTGCGGGCAGCGTGGTACAGGAGGAGCAAGCAGAGAATGGTCGGGGTCACAAGCCAGGTTCAGCAGGTAGCAGGCAGCGCGGTACCGAGGATCAGGCAAAAGGATGGTCAGGCAAGCCAGGGGTTCAACAGGAGATGGTCAGCAGCAGAGGTCAGGATCAAAGCAGGGTCAGCAACAAGGCAGGAACACAGGATACCAGGTACAGGGGCTCATGGGAAACATACACCAAGGCCCTGATCACAGGCCTGGTCATTCCTTAAATACACCTCCTGCAATCAGCCCCAGGTGTTGGCTGACTACAGGAGTGAGCTTCTGGCTGCTGAGAGCACCCGCTGGTCAGCCCTGGTACTGCAGCCCACACGGCAGATGAGTCCCACCACCAGTCCATTCCTGACAAGAAGGTTTTTAGCTGTAAAAACACTCTAATGCTTAAAAATGCGGAAAAACATGGCAAACTGGTGGTTTGGGGCTTTTTATTAGCAAAAAAAATTATTTTTTGTGTGTATAAAACGCTAAAAACAAAAACACAGAAAAATGTGGCTAAACGCTAACGCAAAACGCTTAAAAAGGCGGAAAACTGACGTTTTTAACGCGACTTTACACAGCTGACGCTAACAGCATTATTAAAATGCCCAGTGTGCATGGAGCCTAAGAAAGTGAAGTTCTGCTTTAAAGAATCAATAGAGAGCCAACAAACACAAATTTACAAGGATCCTTCCAGCACTGGGCTATAACCCATTGTATACTCACTTTAGTCCAGTGGTTCTCAACCTTCCTAATGCAGCGACCCTTTAATACAGTTCCTCATGTTGTGGTGACCCCCAACCATAAAATTATTTTCGTTGCTACTTCATAACTATAATTTTGCAGTGGGAGGAGTAGTGCCACATCATTGGTGTCAGTGGGAGGAGTAGTGCCACATCACTGATGTCAGTGGGAGGAATAGTGTCCCATCATTGGTGTCAGTGGGAGGAATAGTGCCCCATCATTGGTGTCAGTGTGGGAGGAATAGTGCCCCATCATTGGTGTCAGTGTCAGTGGGGGGGGGGTATAGTGCCCCATCATTGATGTCAGTGTGGGGGGGGGGGGGGATAGTGCCCCATCATTGGTGTCAGTGGGGAGGAATAGTGCCCCATCATTGGTGTCAGTGTGGAAGGAATAGTGTCCCATCATTGGTGTCAGTGGGGAGGAATAGTGCCCCATCATTGGTGTCAGTGTGGAAGGAATAGTGTCCCATCATTGGTGTTAGTGGGAGGAATAGTGCCCCATCATTGGTGTCAGTGGGAGGAATAGTGCCCCATTGGTGTTGAATAGTGTCAGTGTCAGTGGGAGGAATAGTGCCCCAACATTGGTGTCAGTGGGGGGGGGGTATAGTGCCCCATCATTGATGTCAGTGTGGGGGGGGGATAGTGCCCCATCATTGGTGTCAGTGGGGAGGAATAGTGCCCCATCATTGGTGTCAGTGTGGAAGGAATAGTGTCCCATCATTGGGGTCAGTGGGGGGGGGGGGAATAGTGCCCCATCATTGATGTCAGTGTGGGGGGGGGATAGTGCCCCATCATTGGTATCAGTGGGAGGGGGATAGTGCCCCATCATTGGTGTCAGTGGGGGGGGAATAGTGTCCCATCATTGGTGTCAGTGGGGGGAGGAATAGTGCCCCATCGTTGGTGTCAGTGTGGGAGGAATAGTGCCCCATCGTTGGTGTCAGTGTGGGAGGAATAGTGCCCCATCATTGGTGTCAGTGGGGGGGGGGGGAATAGTGCCCCATCATTGATTTCAATTTGGGGGGGGAAGTGCCCTATCATTGGTGTCAGTGGGGGGGAATAGTGCCCCATCATTGGTGTCAGTGGAGGGGAATAGTGCCCCATCATTGGTGTCAGTGGGGGGAGGAATAGTGCCCCATCGTTGGTGTCAGTAGGGGGAGGAATAGTGACCCATTGTTGGTGTCAGTGGGGGGGAGGAATAGTGCCTTATCATTGGTGTCAGTGGGAGGAATAGTGCCCCACCATTGGTATTAGTGACACCAATGATGGGGCACTATTCCTCCCACTGACACCAATGATACTTACCTTGTTGACCCTGCTGCAGCCTGGGCTCGCTCCCTTCCTCTTCCATCTACAGCCAGCATATATGGCTGCAGCAGCACCATCTGCACAGTACAGACACTTACCGGTCAGCTGTCTTCCTTGTCCGGCCACTCTCCTCTTCACTCGCTCCGGCAGCTCCCTCACTCAATCTTCTTTGATCTTTATGCTGCCTCTCGGCTCCTCCTCTCCAAGTTCCACCTCCTCGGTGGTGATTGGCCACCTGTGTGCCTCTCCTGAGCTACAGTTCCAGCGGCCAATCACCGGCGAGGAGGCGGAGCTGTTGAGTTTATCCCGGGGGTGTTGCCAGATGACAGGGGCGGCATGTCATCCCACCCACACATCGCGGTCCAGGGAAATGTGGGCGTATCTGCATGTGGGCGGACCCACCTGCCGACAGATAAAAGAGCGGTGTTTTGGTTCCTAAGACCATCGGAAATATGTGTTTTCCGATGGTTTAGGCGACCCCTGTGAAAGGGTCGCGACCCATAGGTTGAGAACTGCTGCTTCAGTCGCTTTTCTTCTAGTAAATCAGATTGGCTGAGTGATAGTGCCAACATAGTTACGTAGTTACATACAGTAGCTAGTTCATCCAGTCCAACAAATTGTAAGTTTCTTTTTTGATGTCACTAATTAGCCCACAAAGTGAATAAAACACCATTGTTTTAATGCTATAAGCACACATTTATTCCATATATATATATCAAAAGTATAAAAAAAACTGAAGTTTGAACAAGTCTTATTCTTCTTCCAGTGTTTCAGCTTGCACAAACTCTTCTATAGCTTGTTAACTGTTGTCCGGGGACTGAAGAAAAGAATGAAAACTTGACTGCTATTTTGTTATTGATGGTACCAATCAATATATCCAAAATGTAACATATAGTGGGTCTGACAAAGCTGTATGGCCCTTTTCACACGAGTGGATAGATCGGGTCCACCATGTCTGTTTTTCAGGCAGACCAGATCTGACCACCCATTGTTCTGGGGATGGGGATACATTCACCATCCATCTAGCAGATCAGATCGGATGACAGTCTGATGTAAACGGACAGGAGGCCACAGGAAAGGCACCTTCGGTTTCCTGAACTGTGTTTAAAACACAAACTGCCTTTATGATCTTCTGCGGGTGCCAATACCCAAATACAGATCACAAACGGAGTACGTTTCCCTGCACCAATTCTATGGGACCAGGGGCGGACTGACCATTTGGAAACTCGGGCACCGCCCGAGGGCCCGGGGTCAGTAGGGGGCCCCATGAGATGCCCCTGGTACCTTTTTCATAGGCTTTTTTCAGTTTGGGCAAGGACACAGGGGCCCCATGATCCCCTATTGCCCAAGGGCCCCATGAGTTGTTGGTCTGCCCATGTATGGGACCGAAGTACCATGAAATTTGGTGCGGTGCTTTTTTGAAAAGTAGTACATGCACTACTTTCTGTGTGATCCAGTGCAATTTCAGCCAATTCAAATGGACTGAAAACTACACCACACAGGATTGAGGCCATTTGAGGAAGGCTGAGAGCAAAATGATGGTACTTTTTTAAAAATAAGATGACATTTTTTTTAAAGTACCACTTTAAGACTCTTCTACAGATATTTTATACAGACGTAACCTTACTTTAAACCGCTTTAGGACTGCCCACAGTACCTTTACTGCTGCAGGGTAGCCCCTGTGTGCAAAATCATGTATATATACATTATTCTGCATTTCCGATCGCGGCCCCGGGTGTCAATCACGTGTCTTGCCGGTGATTACACACCGGCACCCGGTGATTACCGGCGATCACCGAGAGGGAGGAGGGCTGCATTGTTTACCACCTGTCCTCCTCCCTGTCAGTTTGGGCACACTGCTCTGGATGGCTGAGCAGAGCCATCCCGATCAGTGTGCTTACAGTGAAGCACACATGCCCCACCTCCTAGTAAAATACTCCCTACACACAGTTAACCCTTTGATTGTCCCTCATTGTTAACCCCTTGCTGCCCAGTGCCATTAGTACAGTGTCAGTGCTTTTTTTTTTAGCACTGATCACTGTATTGGTGTCACTGGGGATGTCAGTGACACCAGGTCAGTTCCCCCCAGTGTCAGAATGCCACGCTGCAGTCCTGCAGTCCTGCTATAAGTTGCTGATCACTGCCATATGTCTCTGATCGCTGCCATTATTAGTAGTAAAAAAAAAAAAAATTCTAGTATCTATATCATTTGTAAACGCTATAACTTTCACGTAAATCAATTAATTTATACGTATTGGGATTTTTTTCTAGCAAAGACATGTAGCAGAATACATTTTGGCCTAAATTATGACGAAATTTGATTTTTAAATTTTTTACTGGATGTGTTTAACCTCTTGGCTCCGGTGCCTTCCGGCCCTTTAAGAGTTTCAGAAGCTGGGGTGTGGGGCGGGGCTTTAGGGTCATGTGACCGCTGTGATTCGCTGTCACGGGGATCACATGATCGGAAAAGGTCCCGATTGAAAGGGGAGATCGGGACCTTTTCGGGAGTTGTGGACATTTGTGCTGGGAGCGAGCAGGTCGCACTCTCTCAGCACATATGTAATTTCTAATTGTACACAAATATGCGGCCGTTAGGCGTCAAGGCCCAGATGCCGAGAGGCGGCATATTTGCGTGCGATCAGTGTCAAGACGTTAATAGCAAAAAGTCCAAAATATTGTTTTTTTTCTCAAAATTGTCAGTCTTTTTTTTTATAGCGCAAAAAATAAAAAATGCACTGGTGATCAAATACCACAGAAAGAAAGCTCAATTCGTGGGAAAAAAAGGACATAAATTTAATTTGGGTGCAGCGCTGCATGACCTCCCAATTGTCAGTTAAAGTAACACAGTACTGTAACGCAAACCGCTTTTTTTAACTGCTTCCTGTCCGCCTTATAGCAGAAATACTGCTACAGGGAGGAATAGATGCACAAAATCACATATCTACATGATTCACGCTCCCGTGGTTTTCACATCCCTCCCGGATAGTGTCATATTGCCCGTCAGTATACCAGTAATCACATTTAACCCCTTGATTGCCAGGAACACGCTCATACACAATAAACCTCCATTGCTAGTAAAGTGTCTGAACGGATCAATATCTTTGAATATCTTTGATCAGCACTATAATAGCGTTCACAATAGTATAGTGTCCCCAAAAAACACAGCGATAGCAGGATCAGCCCCGGCACCTGCCAGCACCTGTGTTTAGCCCCTACACTTACCCCCCCTTCTCCCCCAGCAACAGCAATGTCAGTAGGTCACTGTCACTTGATACATTGCACACAAAATCACAGTGTTCGCAGAATCAGGCCTGATCTCTGCTAGCACTTGAGGGTAAATTTTGCAGAGGGTCAGTACTAGTGCCGCTCTACCTTTTGGTGAACTGGCGAGCACCAGCGGCCTAGTATATCCTGGTTTTTCACATACCAGCACTGCAGTATCACTTGGTGATGTGGCAAGTCCCATAAGTGTAGTACAAGCTGGTGCGGTGGCGAGCACAAGTAGTGTCCCACAGCCACCAAGAATACGCAAACATGCTCTACGAGCCTCTAGTATCCTTCCAGATGTGCTTTCAAATCCCGATTGGGGATTCTGCAGCACCCATACTTCCCCAATTCACTGCCAACCGGGAATTCAGGTGGAAACAGCAAATTTAACTACTCCCCTTGATTTTTTGGAGCTGTTTTTCACGGAAGATCTGTATGCATTGGCTGTGGATCAAAGCAATTTATATGCACAACAATTTATCACCACCAACCCAAATTCAAACCTTGCCAGACCATGCTCATGGAAACCCATTACAGTTTCTGAACTTAAAGTTTTTTTGGGCCTAACCCTCAAAATGGACATTACTAAAAAAAATGAATTGCGGCTTTATTGGTCCACAGACCCGATTCATCATATGCCAGTGTTCTCTGCTGCCATGGCCAGGCATAGATATGAGAGTATAATGTGTGTTATGCATTTCATCGACATAACACTCTGTTGTCCTCAGGGTGACCCTGAATTTGACCGGCTCCACAAATTTAGGCCCCTTGTAAATCACCTTAACCAAAAATTTGCAGATATCAATACTCCCCAGTAAAAAAATCTGCGTTGATGAGTCTCTCATTAATTTTTCTGGCTGCCTTGCATTTAAACAATTTCTCCCCAGCAAGCATGCCAGATATGGGGTCAAGATGTAGAAGACCTGTGAGAGGGCAACAGGCTATACATATAAGTTTCGGATTTACTAAGGAAAAGATAGTCACGTGGAGCCCCCAGATGCCCAAACTACATGGGGAGTAGTGGCAAGATAGTTTGGGTCTTGGTGTCATCCTTTTTCCATATGGGGTACCACTTATACGTAAACAATTTTAATTCAAGCGTGCCACTATTTAGACATTTGTACAATCTTGGAATTGGCGCATGTGGCACTGTGCGACCTAATGTGTGCTCACCATTAGAAGTTGGTGGATGCAGGGTGGTATACTCTAATGGTGGGCATACCACACACTTTTTCTGGCAGAGATTTCTTCTCTTTTTTTCATTCAGCCCATACATAGCATATACACCCAACAAGGACCAGCGACTTACTGGTACATCACTGTACTTTGAATGGTTATATCAGGAGATGCCTACAGCTGTTTTTTTTAGCTGGCGATTGGCTTTCATGTAAAATCAATCCTAGTGGCTAATTAGCTGCAGGATTGCTTTTACAAGCAGTAAGAGACGATGCCCCCCTCCCCCGCTGCCTTTCACGGCCTGCTTGGGCAGTCCTTTGCCATTGGGGGAGCCTGAGAATGCAGCCGGAGTTTCTGCCAGCTGACCATAGAGCTTATTGAAGACTGGAAGGGTACCAATCATCTCTATTGTCTAAGAAATCGAAAGCTATGAACATTTCATCACTTCAGTTTCGCAGGATATAAACAGCACCGTTTGTAAATTGGGAAAGCATCTGATCACACCGATCTTGGTGAGATTAGATAATGTAAGGGCAGAGGAGATATCTGAAGTCTGATAGACCTCAGATTTCTCAAAAAAGAATATGTGACAATGCCCATTGAAGTTATAGGTGATATATGCATTCCCTGTGATAGCTTTAAAAGTGATAAAAGAAAAATAAAATGAAAGGGGACAGTATAAAAATAATGAAAAAATCGAAATAACTTAAGAAAAAAAAAAGCACCCTCGCTTTCCCCCCTGCACACCTGCGTGCACGAGCATTGACCCTGTGCCGGTATGTAAACAGTAGTTGCGCCATGCATGTGAGGTATTGCCGTGAAAGTCAGATCAAGGGCAGTAATTCTAACACAACTCCCTCTGTCAATCTAAAATGGTAGCT